ATATATATATATATATATATATATATTGATATGATTTTAATATCATATACACAATACAGTATATGATATTAAAATCATATCAATATATATATATATATATATATATATATTAAGTCTATTGACAAAATATCTGCATCTATTTATTTTTAATATATATATATATATATATATGTTTATTTTTACATTTTATTGCGGATTTAATTTCTTATGCATCTGTTCTGATAATTTCATGATTATTTTTATATCATTTTTACTAGGGGTGCTCTGATCAATTTATTTATTTTATTTTATTATGTTTTTAAATGTTTTATGACACTATTATTATTATTAAATACATGTAACAAATTATTATATAAATACCCATTTTTTAAATTAAATATATTTAAATACATTACTATTATTAACGCAGTGTTATTTTAGTATCATTTATATACTACTATAGTTCTTCTTAATATTTTAATATATTTCATTTTAATTTACATATATTTTATTTTTACATTTTCACTTTATTGTGGAAAGTTTTAGTAATTGTGTTTTCGTCATCTTTGTTTTTCCTTTTTTATTTATTATTTTTAGTTATTTTAGTAGTGTGTTTCTGTCGCTTTTATTAGTTTTTTATTCATTTTATTTTTATTCTTATTGATTTTCATTCATTAGTTTTAGTTATTTTAGTACAAGTTAAACTAATTTTTATTAGTAAATGCATTTAAATAAATTATTATTATTAATGATGTAATGTTATTTTTGAATCATTGATATACTATTATAGTTTTAAGATTTAGAATTTTGAATTTTCACTTTAATTTTTGTATGTTTTTAAATTATAATACTATTTTTATTATTATTATTATTTAACTATTACTATTATTATTAAGTACATAAATTATTACATAAATATAATTGTTTTATTATGAGATATATTTAAATACATTATTATTAACGCAGTGTTATTTTAGTATCTACTATAGTTCTTCTTAATATTTTAATATATTTCATTTTAATTTGAAATATTTTGACAATGTTTTTATTTACATAGATTTTATTTTTACATTTTCACTTTATTGTGGAAAGTTTTAGTAATTGTGTTTTCGTCATCTTTGTTTTTCCTTTTTTATTTATTATTTTTAGTTATTTTAGTAGTGTGTTTCTGTCGCTTTTATTAGTTTTTTATTCATTTTATTTTTATTCTTATTGATTTTCATTCATTAGTTTTAGTTATTTTAGTACAAGTTAAACTAATTTTTATTAGTAAATGCATTTAAATAAATTATTATTATTAATGATGCAATGTTATTTTTGAATCATTGATATACTATTATAGTTTTAAGATTTTGAATTTTCACTTTAATTTTTGTATGTTTTTATATTATGACACTATTATTATTATTATTATTATTTAACTATTACTATTATTATTAAGTACATAAATTATTACATAAATAATTGTTTTATTATGAGATATATTTAAATACATTATTATTAACGCAGTGTTATTTTAGTATCGTTTATATACTACTATAATATTTTAATATATTTCATTTTAATTTGAAATATTTTGACATTTAATTTTTTTATTTACATATATTTTATTTTTACATTTTCACTTTATTGTGGAAAGTTTTAGTAATTGTGTTTTCGTCATCTTTGTTTTTCTTTTTTTCTTTATTATTTTTAGTTATTTTAGTAGTGTGTTTCTGTCGCTTTTATTAGTTTTTTTATTCATTTTATTTTTATTTATTTTCATGCATTAGTTTTAGTTATTTTATTACAAGTTAAACTACACTAAATAATTTTATTTCAGCTGGTTAAAGTTTTTTTTATATATATACATTTTAATTCAGTTAACATTTATTTTATTTTAAGTAACAAAAATTCTGCTTTTAGTTTCCTCTAATAAGTTCCCTGCAGGTGGGACATTAACCCCTGATGAGTTATGACTAGTACTAATCAAGCGCCGCAAGGCTGACCTGTCGTAGCAGTTGAAGTCGTCTAGCCAGCAGCCCTTCTTGACGAGCTCGATGCTGCCGGAGCTGTTCCTCCAGGAGGCGTAGCAGTGCGAGCGCTTGTCCTTCTCTCCCTCACAGCGCTCCACGCCGCTGCGGTTCGTCTTCTCCACCTCCCAGTTAACGTTGAAGTACAAGCACTCGCGAGTCTCCACCTCGGCATGACTGGGTCCTGATCGAACACAGCAGAGCGAAGACACTGATTTACTGACGGCAGAAACACCAGAGCTCAAGTCTGAGGCCATGTCCACACGTACACGGGTATTTTTATAAACAAGTTTTTCCTTCTTCCGTTTAAAGAAAAATCTCCGTCCACATGAAAACGCAAACGCATGCTATGAAGCGCGGTCAAGAGCATGCCAAACCAGCAGGTGGTGATATAATCTCAACCGTAAAGCCATGTTGGCCAATCAGAAGCCTGAAAAAGTCTCCAGTAGGCGGAGATAACAGAACGTGCTCCGACGTCACAAGCCGCGTAGAAAAAGCTGTGGCTTTAAAAATAACCGCGTTCGTGTGGACGGGGCCTGATTCTCACTCACCAAACACAAACACAAACAACAATAATCAACATTACAAAGCCCCGTTCACACCAAGGACGATAACTATAAAGATAACGATAAAGATATAGTGCTAAAAATCTTTCTCAATATTAAAGAATTGCATAGTTCACATCACGACTATAACGATAAAGACAAAGAGAAACGATATCGTTGGAATCACTTTCAAAACGATTTTTCTCCAGCTGATGAACGATACAAACATTGACAGCCAATCAGAATCCATCCTGCGGTAACGAGCTCAAGAATTTAAAGCGGCAGACTAGGGATGTTCATTTTAACCGGTTAACCGTTAACCGACCGTAAGAATTTTTGACCGATTAATACAATCAGCTAAACAGTTTCAAAAGTCATTTATAATTTTTTTTTTCAGTAATTTATCAAAATATTTAAAAAGGTTTGCTGCATGGTTCAAATACGCTACGCGTATATTACAAAAATTCGTTTTTTAGGGAAAAAAAACGCAAGTCGAGTATAAGTCGCATTTTATTATTTCATTCAGAAATAAGCCTAATGCCGTCGCGAAATGTTTACAAACATTATAATAAACACTGTAAACATAGCTAGGCTATTTTACTTCCCCTCACTCCACAACAAAGCCTTACAATTAACAGTATTTAGAAAATAACAAGAATTAAAAATTTAAGAAGCTATAGCAATATAAACGACAAGCCAAAACGAATTCATTTAGGCTAAAACGAAACTGAAACCAACGTTGGGTCTCTCATTCGACACGAAATCAAATGTTTCAGTATTCGCGATGCATTTGAATGCCAAAATATGATTTATTATGTACTTCACTCGCGTTCCAATATCCACGTAAAACTAAATGTTTCGCAAAACATCATTCACGACGGTGCGGTGATAACGCTTAACGGCACAGATTTTACTACATATTTGAACTGTCATAGTTCAACTAGTCATGAAGATAATCGGAATTGTAAAAGGTTTGCTTTTATTTGTGTACATTCACAATAAAAACAAATCTTTGTGCTTTTGTAAAATAAGCCTAAAGAGAAACAGGATGCCGCTTTCTGCCGTCTGTTTCCTTTCGGCGCAGCACAAAAATTAATCCCCGGGAAACAAATGTTAGTATTTTTAACGGGTCACAGAAACGTATCCTTTCTAATTTAATTAAATTAGAATTTAAAATAATCTTGTCGGTTAACGAGCATCGGTTCGTTAGAACGGCAGACGCATGTGTGCTTAGAATATACAGACGATATCGTTAGCTGGTGCGGACGCTAATATCGTTATCTTTATAGTTATTGTTCTTGGTGTGAACGGGGCTTTAGTCTTACTATTAAAAAGCATTATCATGACTATATTATTAAATAATTAGATATAAAAATACATTATGGAAACATTATTATTATTATTGTTGTCTATTGATAACATTTGCATTTTCTCAATAATTCTTCAAATGAAACTATTATAATTTTTGCATATATAAAATATAAAGTATTATATATATATATATAGAATATTATATAAATATTTGAATATATACATATTAAATATTTAAACAAAAAAAAATATTAATAAATATTTAAATATATACACAAAATATAAGACATATATTTAAAAAATATTACTGACACAGCATATTGATGTTTGCGGTTTCTCAATTCTCTACTTAATTACTTAATGAAAGCATCATTATTATTACTATTACATATATAAAATATAAATTATTGTATTCACATTTTATTATTAAATACATTTAAATAAATTATTAATAATAATAAATTATATACACAATGTAAAACATGATAAAAATATTGATAACATTTGCTGTTTCTCAATTCTCTACGTAATGAAACTATTATTATTATTATTGTTTATTATAGTTATTAAATATATATCAAAATTAATTATATAAATACCATTATTTTTATTATTAAATAAATGTATATTATTATTATT